GGACAGAAGAGCCAGGAGATTCCTGGACGAACTCTAATGGGTCACCAGGTCTTCCTGGGCCAGGTCACATCTTTGCTTCGTGCCTGATGGTGGGTTCTATTTTCAAGAGTCAGCAGCCTGCAAGCAGGCAATGTGAAGAGTTGCGGCAGAAAATCTATACAGTTTTTTCAGTTCTGGAAGACTGACAGGAGATGTTTCCAGCCACTTTTTGCTCTGTCTGCAGCTTCTAGGAAGCATGCAGAAAGTTTGTGGACTGCACAGAATCTCTTTCTGTGGTTGTCAGGTGAGAGTTTTTGTGTGGAGATGAAGCCCTTCTCAGTAAATCCATTCCCTGTAGCCCCGATGGGGCCTTAGAGGGGACGTCTGGTGTTAGATAGTCCTTTATCCCTTGTTATAATTGGGAGATGGAGGCCAAACATCTTGAAAATGCAGTGTTGCCTCCTGCTGCTATCCCTCTGGGAAAGTGTCTTTTTGGTTAGAGTCGGACCAAATGGAATTGCACCAGGGTGGGAAGCCAGGTCGGGAAATCCAGGTCCTCTCGATGGGAGAACTCCCCTGATACCAGGATTCCCTTGCTTCAAGACTTTGACTGTCATGGCTTTCAATGCCGGCTGGCCATTTGGACAGTGGGCAGCTATTATGGGGACCCAGATTCCTTTATTAGCTCCTAATAGGTAATCAGTGTATTGTGAGAGAATGAGGAGAAGAAAGCTGTGGGGGTAAGGAAACTAGATAGCTGGTCCAAATCACGTGCCCTCTGCCTTCTTCTCAAGTTATGTACTTTGCCAGGACATTTCCCCTACCTCTGCCATAAAGCTCATCCCCACCCCTATCCCTGCCAGTCCCTACACACACTTTCTCTAACACCAACAGAATAGGATAGGAAGTGGTCATAAACTCCAGCTGGGGTCCCAGCAGAAACGTGTGAGGTTGTCATTACCTTCAGGTTCTGAGTCATAAAAGACTAGGGAAGTCAGGTCCTCACGATTCCATCTGAAGCTGCCTCCAGGTGCTGCTTCTCCTCATACTCAAGCAGAGGTATGGCAGGGCTGACCCACTTCAGCATGAGGCTGGGATTTCTTGGGGAATCCCACCACCATTGGGAAGCTCTACTTGGTCACCATTTTTCTCAGTGAAGGGTTGCATCACTGGGATGGGAGGGGAGAGTAGGCAGCAAGGTCGTGGGCCGGCCTAATTCTTGCCACGGCCTCAGTGCAATTTAGCACACCCGTGTGAAAGCCAGTGTTGTTATCTGACTGAGCACGAAGGACTGGTTAAAAATGAGAAGAGAAGTAAGGAAATATATCTGGATGTTTCTACTGATGTTTGGATTTCCATTGTATCTTGAACTGGGATATTCAACCCTATAGTGTAGATTCAAGTGGATATTGGCCTGTGATTTGGTCTGGTTCATTGGGTTGAAATTAATTTTTTAAATGTCTCATGTGCTAGCATTAACAGAGACTCCCACCTATTATCATAATTGTAAGTTATAAGTGCCTGCTGTGTCTGGGAAGTTAATAGGCACAGTGCAAACCCAGGGTTTGCTGTCTATTAATGTTGTTGGCTATCTATGTATCATGATCATTTCCAAGTATTTGTCATGGCTTCTGTGAACTGCCTAACAGCCCGCAATAGGTAGAAATCACAGTTATATAAATACGTCTCTTTCTCGTTGTTGCCCTGAACTGATTTCAGTTCTTGATCAGGAGGTGTGTTCAATGTCATCTGCTATGTATTTCCCATTAGCTCTTTCTAAAAGAATTGGCTTCTCAGTGAGCAGTGTTCGATGATATCATCTGTTTGAAAATGTATGTTCACCCACTTCAGGTAGAGAATATTCCTTCATAACAAATGTAAGTATATGAAAGCCAACTGAAAATGCAGGAACCGTCTCACTGGTATTTATAGTACCTTGTCTGAAATGGCCAGCTGTGTACCAGGGGTTCCTTGCATAGCCTGAGAAGGATTAGGGAGAGTATTCATACTTCATTTGTTTGCCTCTCCTTTGGTGGAAGCTCCTGACACTATGATTCCTCAGACTGATGTCTGGGAGAAGAAATACTGAAGGATGAATTCCATTATGCCATTTACTGACATCCTGTTTAGGCTCAATCTGTCCCTGTAGGGGATTCTCTACGGGGGAGCACATCTGATGGGAAATAGATTCTGTGTTCCCAATAAGTCAACAAAGGTAATCACAAGTTCTGAGTTTGGTAATGGAAGTTGTCAATTTGGGAGCCAAAAAAACTGGACAGATTCTGCTCTTCCTCTAGGTGCTGTGCTCTGTGAGCTTGGCAAAATTTTCAAAGACTGGGTTAATGTTCTATAACTAGAGCTTTATCCACATACTGAAAATTATACTGGATAGAAGATCTGAATTCAGACCTCAGTTCCACCAGTCATCAGTTTGTAGCTCTCTTAGCCTTCAGCCTTCTTGGTCATAAAATGGCAATAACCATAGTCACCTCCTGAAAACACTTTGAAAACTTATGGCAGACATTTGAATGTAAGCCATCATCATCACCATTACAGTATGCCCATTAGCTCCTTTTCTTCCCTTTACTTTACTTTTACTTCCTGTTACTTTAAAAACTGGAGCAGTGTCTTTAACAAGCCTAGTGATTTCCTGAGTTGTTTTTGTGCTTCCCATTCCCCTTGCCTGGTAGAGGTAAATCTTCTGACAAGCCCGGGGAAACCACCTACCTCAGGCCCCTTTTAGAAATAAGAAGCTAAGGCAGCAACTGGTCTTTCTCAGAAAGGTTGAGGGATTTTTTAACTGTCAGAATCTGCACTTTTTACCTGCCTAATAATATCTTTAAGGTGGATTACTAATTACCTAGTAAGGGTAATTAAGATAAAATCAGCAATAACATCTTTCCTTGAATTTCCAGAACTGTATGCAATTTTGTATAGTCTTAAAAACATCTCACCCAAGGTTTGCATTCATTACTTAAACAATATAAAATAAAATATAATGTTCTTTTATTATTGCTTACTTTGGGAAACTAACCATTCTAATCCAGCCTGAATGTTTTGCACACTTATGAAGTCAAAGTTTCCTCACTTCATCATACTGGATTTGGTGAGTGATAAGGCATTTCACTGGTCTCTGCCCTAAAAATTTGTAGGCATTATGGTAGGAGGTAGTGATGTGAGTCAGTGACCTTGACTTGCAAGGGTTGGACAGCTAGAAGGAAGCACAGGTTCGGTATTGCAGGAAGATCACCTTTATCTTGGTTATTACAGATCTTTAGGTCTTAAAGATTTTATCAAGGACTTGAAGTTCAAGTCCTAGTAAGTATGGAATACAGAGTCCTAAATTTAGAGCTGGAAGACACTTTAGAGATAATTAAAACTCCAGCTCGCAAGAGGGTGGTCCAAGGACTGGCAGCATCAGTATTGCTTGTGAGCTGGTTAGAAATGCACAACCTGCAGGCCCCGTCCCAGACTACTGGGTCAGAGTCTGCATGTAACAAAATCACCAGGGGACTGGAAGGCACATTCAAGTTTCAGATGCACTAGTCCAGCCCACTCCTCTTATTTGATAGGTTACCGTACTAAGTTACAGCATGTCTAAACGACATGTTCAAGAGCTTACAGCAGGTTACTAGCAGCACAGGAACCATCTCATATCCTAATCTGGTTCCTAGATCTGTGAATTGGAATAACAGTGAGTTATGGTCCTGATCCCAAAATCACGGGCAGGATCTCCCCATAAATGTGCAATAGTGACATCAAGCAATGAGGATTCAAGAAGTCCATTCTCAAGCTTGTTTAAACTAAAATTTCCACACTGTTTGTATAAATGGGTTTGTTCTCACCGAAGTACCACAACTCTCCTGATGGCAGTTTACTCTGATTGCAGATTGATTACTTAGGTGCTTTGAAAATGGGAACTGTTGCAAGACAGCAAAGAGGAATGTCACTTTGCGTCCACTGCATAGGGTAACCTGGCACCGTGTTGAGATGGGCCACCTCAGGGCCTTCGCTCTTGCTGCTTCCTTGGCCTGTGATGCTCCACCTCTGCATGTGCCCATGGTAGGCTCCATTTTATCATCCAAGCCTCATCCTTGGAGAAGCTTTTCTCTGTCATTCTGTTTACAGTCACCTTCCCTCCACATCCCATTCCTCTGAGTCACACTCTATCCTGTTGTCTTGTTTTATTTTAATATGGCAACTATTAAATGAAATTATGTAGTTTAATGATGTATTATCCATCTTCCCTCCCAAAGCATATATATTGGATGAGAGCAGGGACCTGGCCTCACACACAGCTATGTTCTATTGATCAACAACAGTGCTTGACACAAATTAGGTGCTAAATGAATGAAATAGTGATTTAGAACAAAGTTTGCCATGTTCATGGTGAGGATAATTGTCAATAAGAGCTAACATTTACTAACTTTAGAAATGTGTGCTACGGGCTTTGCATACATCATCTAATTTAATTTTTTTATTTAAGTTTCCAAAAGCAGGCACTAGTGTTGACTGTATGGAAGTTGTGGCATTAAATGTCTCTTTCTAAAACTGACTGAAATCTGGGCTTGATTTCAGGGCATTTACCTAAAGGAAAGCACTGCCTGGTGTTCTGCACAAAGTGGTCCACACTCACTGAGGACCTAAAGGGTGCAAACTGAACTGGCGGGACCAGGGAAATCACTACACCCAATACTGTGTCTTGGTCCCCTTGCCAAGTTTCCTTTGAGCACATGGACAGGGACAGTCAGACTTAGAGGGATGGCTTGGAATGACAGTCAGACTTAGAGGGATGGCTTGGAATGAAATGTCCTGATACACTTTTCTGAGTGATGATGGAAAGGTTAACTCTTCCCCATTACCCCTTGCATGACCTGAAAAATAATTTATAATGAAAAATAAATTGTTCATTGAGAAACAAGATGCCAACCAGAGGTCAATCCTTGATCCTTTTTCTTTTCACAAAAAAAACAAAGCAAATAGGCCAATTTTGGTCTCAGTCATCAAGTACATTTCGTGGTGCCTACAAAAAGATAAAGGGCGATAAATTTGCCCTCAGGATGGCAGCTCAGTATTTCTGCTCATTTTTCTTCCTAATTAAAAATATCCCAAAGGGCTCAGTCCCCTATTCCACTCTCCATCTTGGTTCCCACCAGCTCCATGTATCCATACGAGACAGCTGTACCCAGCTGACTCAGTGGGGCTGGGCTCCCCAACCGATCAGGAAGTCAGCCAAGAAGGCATGTCTATAATGAGAAGCAGGAGGAGGAAGAGAAAAACAACTTGAGTAAATGCATTTCATTCCAGAGAAGAGCTTTTTAAAAAACTATTTAACATTTGAAATTCTATTATTATTTTTGGCAGCACATGTTGAGTCCATGTCTCTTTTTGGCTACTTTTCTAGTACTTTATGTATCTGGAAGCAAAATTTGCAACTGATTTCAGTAACACTGGGAAAGATTTCTCAGTGTAATTATAGAAGGTATTTAAATGCTATCAAAATGTTATATTGTATACTCACCAAATAAGAGGCACGGTTTTAAAATGACCATATTAAAGACCTATAATATAATTGGTCTATATGTCCTTGACATAGAAACGCCTTAAGTATTAGTCATTGCAGAATTAACTATGTAACTAAAAGGTCAAAAAATCCAGTCAAAATTACCCATAAATTCTGAATCAATTACCCAATGCAAAAAAACAGAAGGATATATAATACTGTGGGTGGTCCCTCCCATCACATGGTCAGTGGTAGGGCCTGGTCTCTTCATTTTAATAAACTTTCATCAGGGAAAATTTCAAATATACACAAAAGTAGACTATGTATCCATCATCCAGCTTCAACAATTATCCATGAATTGATCCTGTGCATTGATGGTGAGAAGAGGGGATAATGAGATGGTCCTTGTGACAGCCAGAAAGGCAAAACGATTATCTGTCATGGTAGGAATGGGTCTATAACTCGTTTGCCATATTAACTATTTGAAGCTGTACATAAAATAGGTAGTTTGCAAACTTAATGCCAACTTCTGCTTTAGGACATCAGACAAAAAAGTTTTTAAGTTGCATTTATGATCTGAAATGAGCCCATCATTGTTCTAGATGTTGTGATGAAAATAAAGCAGTCATTAAAATATTAGAATGGTAGACAGTTTCTGTTTGCCCTCCCACATACCACCTTCCCAGGAGCCCACCCTAGCTTGCATCCTGGGAGGCTGATCTGTAAAGGCTTCATCAAAAGCCTCCCTGCCTTCTGGCTTCTGCTGGGTTGAACCAATGGGTGGCCAGGAGAGGAATACCAGCAGGACACTGGAGAGTGGGAAGGTAAGTGGAGCAGGTACAGGCTCATATAGGATGGGAGGCGGTGCTTAACTATCCAACCAACAAGGTTTTTATTGGTACGAAAAGCAATTGTCTGCTCAACCTCACGAATCTGCAAGGAGATGCAAACCAAGCCACACCCATTAGAACAGCTACTATGGAAAAAAACAGAAAGTAACAATTGTTGGTGAGAACGTGGAGAAACTGGAACCTTTCAGCATTGCTGGTGAAAATGTAAAATGGTGCAGCTGCTGTGGAAAATAGTATGGTGGTTCCTCAAAAAAATTAAACATAGAACCACCATATGATTCATACTCAAAAGAATTGAAAGCAAAGACTTGAACACATACTTGTGTACCAGTGTTCATAGCAGCATTATTCACAATAGCCAGCATATAGAAACAACCTGATGCTATCAATGGGTAAATAGATAAACAAAATGTGGTATATCTACAAAATGGAATGTTATTCAGCCTTAAAAAGAAATGACATTTTGACACATGCTACATCATGGATGAACCTTGAAGACATTATGCTCAGTGAAATAAGCCAGATACAAAAGTGCAAATACTGGATGATTCCACTTGTATGAGGTACCCAGAGTGGTCAATTCACAGAGACATGAAGCAAGTGAGGGATTCCTAGGGGCTGGTAGGAGGGGGCATTGTGGAGCTATTGTTCAGTGACTACAGAGTTTCAGTTTGGAAAGATGAAAGAGTTCTGGAGATGGATGGTGGTGGTGATTGCGCAATAATGTGAATGTACTTAATGCCACTGAACTCTACACCTAAAAATGGCTAACATGGTAAATTTTATATGTATTTTACCACAATTTTAAAAAAAGCATTAGGTGGGCTTTGCATTTCACTTATAAAGGAAGACATGAAAACTTGGAGGAGTGCAGGTGTACACGATTAAAATAGGCTTCCCACTCCCAGTAAACCCAGGCCATTAAACTATTGAATTTCATACAAAAAAAGTCCTCCTCCTCTTCTTTTAAAAATGAGAACCTATAATGTATATTGACATGTTCTCTGGAGGAAGGTGAGAACCAGAAAGCTGGCAATATGGAGACCTTCTGCAGGGAGTTAGGACAGCCCACAAAGAAAGGCAGAGAAGGAAGGGCAGGTAACAGAAAGGCTGTGATCAGACTGTCACCACACCACTTTGAAGGGGTGGTCTGATCCTTCTTATCACGGAGACCTACACACTTGATTAGTAGCTACAACTTTATGTTATTTGTAGAGACCTGGCCATCAATATTGGTCCTGACACTGATTGTTCTAAGCAAAATTTTGCACTGAAAAGGAGGCTTAATGACCCAAGTGCATGAGGAGTTCTGTAAATTGTCTCTTCAATTACAATTTATTTCAAGGGTGAGGCCTAAGGATGATACTGAAATTAGAAAACCTGAGTTTGAATGAGAATAATGTGCAAGTGATTTATAACAGGAAGAACAATATACCCTTATACATTTGCATATTAGTTTTCTTCAGGTCTGAGATTCATGACGGCACAGAAGGGGTCCGCAGTGGTTCTTAGATATGTTCTGGTGGCAGAGCCTGGGTGTCATGCTGAAGCCACTGCATGTTTGTGTCTCATGTGCACAAATTGTGGTTGGTAACAACAGTTAAAAAGTTTTTGAAGAAAAACTCAAAGTTGGAAATACAATGTTCACTAACTTTATTTTCTGCACATTAGGAAAAGGCAAGCATTAGCTGGATTTTAAAATTAGAAAAGTTCAGATATGCAGATTAAAATGTTTCTGCTTTTGCTTCTATAATCTCTCCTTTGCCAGCCAGTATTTCTGTGAGTCAGTTACATCTAAAATGAAAATCTAACTCCTTCGAAAAGCAAACCCAGATCCTAATATCTATCAGGATCCCAGGGCATTTCTTTCCACAGTTGATTCTAACTGGCTGCTTATTCCCACTTCCCAAACCCAGACTCCTAATACACCCAGTTGAACTTTATCTTCTAACTTCATTCAATCAAAAATATTTATTGAGCACTTAACAGGTACAAGGATTATATTCTGGTTTCTTGGGATAAATTAGTGAAGAAACAGATAAGAATCCCTGCCTTCTTGGAAGCTTACATTCCAGCACACTTTGAAGGTAATTCACTGTCAGATATTAATGGATAAAAGACATTGATTTCTAAGGGAGGTGGGATCCATTCAGTACTGCAATGTAGAACTGGTTTCTAGCTACTGCCTTTCCATCACCATATCTGATGGCAAATAATTTGAGTAAGGATTATTAAAAGGAAATATTCTTATGAACTCAGTATGGGTTTTGAGTTTCTCTGACATTTGGACCCTACCCCAGATGGGACAGCTGGGAGCCGGATAGAAGTTACGAGCTAGTAACCCTTAAGAGCAAAGGTTAAATCAGAGCCAGGAAGTAGTTCGTCCAGAGTAGTCAGTGCTAAAGAAACTTCTCCCCCTCCACCCACTCCAGGCAGTATACTAACCATACATTGCTTGTAAATTTTGGACATATATTTTATTTCTTCGCACAGAGCTCGGTAATGACAGGAAAACTAAGGAGTTGGGGTATAAACAAAGCAGAATGGGGAAGAAGAGGGGAGGAGGATGGAACAGGCTAGTGGCTTATAGTCCAAGCAGTGTCACCAAGCATGAAGACAGAAATGATTTAATGTCTCTCATGTTGCCTTCCAATCTAGGCCAATCCTTTTGAAGTATAGTACAGCCTTGAGAACTTTAAAAGACTCTTTGCAACTCAAAATCTGAAAGTGTTAGGTAATGGGGGAGTAGCGGCTTATTTCCTTTAAAAAAATGCATTAACATGTAAATATTAATGAATTCAGTAAGTACCTTTTGAAAAGCAAATAAGAAAAGTGAGCTTGTATATTTATAGCTTTTACTGCATGAAAATTCTGACTCATAAGTTAAGACTTTATTTTTTAAATTAAAATTGTTTTTTTGAGATACTTTAGATGCCGTGTATTTTTTAATTTAAAAAGATGTAGCTTATTTTGTAGATAGTTTTTTCAGGTAGGAGAATACTATTTGGTACCTCTCTTGTGCCCATCATCTAAGATCTAAAAAATTTGCTGTTCATTAGGCCAGCTGGGAGGAGAAGTTATAATTTCCTTGGCTTTCTAAAAAAAAAAAGACAGTTGACATTTTGTGTCTTTTGAATGTGGGTGGGAAGATGACAAACAGTGGAGCAAGGTCATTAGGCCTCTTTGCAAAAGTTGGTTAAACTCTGGAATGTGTGTTGGGGATGGAGGCAGAAGAGAAAATTTCTTAGCAGAGCAGCCACTGAGCAGAAAGGCCAGTAACTGACTGCTGAAGTCCTTCAAAAGTGCTTGGATTCTGCAGGGCATTGAAACAGCTTCTTGGTCAAGGCTAAAAAAAGATCCTAATTGGGACTGACAAATTAGTTATCTCCTGTGTGAAACATCTTCATTGTTCTGTTTAAGTGAATTTTGTTATGTTTCATGTTTTCCTCTTTGATGCATTCTAGACTTTTCTTTTCATGGACCTTCTTTAATCCTTATAACCACTTCGACTTAAGTAGTAGACAGTCTCTTCAGCTATAAACTTGAAGTATAACTATTCCCCAGATTAAATTTCTTAACCTTTGTTAGCAATAAATTGGAAAGACTGCTTGTCTGTCTGCAATGCTGAGATGTGTGTAGATACAAGTCAGATTCATAAAGAGATGGAAAGACAGAGTTGGCCTATGTTAGCTTATTCTGAGAAGATTGAATTCTGTGTGTGTGTGTTATTTTTTGGTGGGGGAACAATGTTCAGATAAAAAAATTACAGGTCCTCCATTCCATTTACAAGTTTGGGAAATGGGGGTGAAGGAGGTACTGATTAGGAACAAAAGCAGTAAATTATGGGCCATCAAGAACTTTTCGTTAATTAGCAGAATTACCATTGGTATTGATCTGGACCCCATAAAGGCCACTTAGGAGACAACTGTGCCCATGCTAAAGCCCTGTGCTGCAGTCCCTTGACACCAACCTCCCGAGAGCTTCTACCTTCTGGGCTAGTAAAACAGATCCCTCCGTCAATATCCTGCAACAGATCAGTCCCCTTTTTAATTCACTACTGCTCCCTCTCAAGATCCTCCCCTACATATACATTAGGGATGTCCTAAATTTAGGGGGTGGGCAAATAGTACTGATTTGAATAGTACATTAGTAGGCCACAGAGGCTTTCTAAAACTCTTTTAGAAGGCTTATGATATCAACATCATTGTAATTCAAACATTACTGTAAATGTACATATAAATCCCTGGTTTTAGTTTGCCATTTATTGCCTACTCTCATATTGGAAAAGTATCAAATGTTAAAAGACATAGTGCTTCTTTTTTTTTTTATTTCAATTAAGGTATGATTGATATATACTCTTATGAAGGTTTCACATGAAAACCAATGTGGTTACTACATTTACCCATATTATCAAGTCCCCACCCAATGCAGTCCATAGTGCTTCTTTTTAACAATATAAAAAGCAACATGAATGTTCATGACAGCTGAGATTAAAAGCTTTGGTCAAGAAAAGCTTTATAACATTTTGTGGGAATAATGATTGGTCAAAGTGGAGTACTTTCCCCTTGAGTCTAATGCAAAGTAATTGCCTTGAACACCATTTACCTTGCAAATTGCTGAGATTCCCTGCTCACCCAGACCTCCACATCCTGAGAGCTTGGGAAGCCTAAGGGTTGTGAAGACTTATGAACCAAACACACCCTCCTACATAGTGCTGTGATATGGGAATGGAAGCAGGAACTAAGGTCCTGTTAAGTTTTTCTAATTAGTTGGGAGGTAATGGAGTTAATCCGGCAGCTGTTGTGGGTAATAGCATGTTCTGACTCTTTCTTGTCTCTTTAGGGATAGGCCTGTCTGAGTTTCTATCTTCTGAGCAACCCCAAACCTTGGCTGCCTTCACTCACAACCCAATATAGCCAATGTGTGACTGGGAATGGCTGGCCACAAATTAGCATGTGAGGGTTTATTGAGGGGTGGTAAGTAGAGAATATGCCGAGTGCGTATCAGAAACATTGCCCCATAACTCAGTTTGACACCAGGGCTTATGAAGAATTCAGGGACCCTTTTGAGTGGCATAAACCCTGTTGTGTTTTATGTGTGGCAAGCTCTTATTAAAGAATTGTATCTTTCTTGAGGAGCTGCTGTGACACACGTGTTGGGAAGAATGCATACACCAAAAGTTCCCCCCACTTTTGATAAAACAATCAACTGTCCTTTTGCCCTAAAAATTTTGAGATGTAACTAGAAACTATAGATAAACACAATCATAGATGAATCTGAAAGGATGGTGTTGAAGGAAAATGGGTTTCAGCAAAAAAGAATAAAGTAAGATTGACAGCACAGTATTGCTTATGTATATTAAAAACACAAACACCAATGCCGTTGCACATTTGATCAGGGTGCATGCATATCAAACACTGAAGAGTGACGTGCCTGTGGGGAGAGGACTGGGGATTGTGAAGGGAGACTAGAGTTGAGTGGGTTACATAAAGTAAACTAAGCAAGGACCCGGTATGGAGCAAGGATGCTGTGCTGTGAGCTGAAGAGAATAACTGATGCTCAACTTGAGGGTCGAAGATAAAGGCAGAATAAAACCTTGTGGTTCCTGTGTTAGGAGTGAGGACAGAGATAAGAAGGGAGGTCCCTGAGCACAGGGAGTAGCAAGGGACCCCACTTAGGTCATGCGTCCTCTCCATCTTGCCCTCTACCAGGCTTTCCAGTGGAGTCTGGAGAAGAGGCCATGCCATAGGGCAGGGGTCAGCAAACTGTTTCTATAGAGGACATATGGAAGATATTCTTGTCCGTGTAGGCCAGATGGTCCCTGTTGCAATCACTCAGCTTGTTGCTATAGTGTAAAAGCAGCCATAGACAATCCATAATGAATGGGCATGGCTGTGTCCTAGTAAAAGTTTATTTAAAAAACAAGTGGCAGGCTAGATGTGGCAGGCTGTAGTTTGCTGACCCTTAGCATAGGAGCTGGACCTCATCCATTGGCATGGCCTCACCTCTTAACAGAGGGCCCAGAGCAGAGCCTCTAAGATGATTCTGTCATTCCAAAATATGACCTATAAGGACAAGTGCAAAGGCACTGGGCTTATTTAAATTCAGAGAAAAGGAGCCTGAGGTCCACAGGGGCTTTCATGATAAGAGAATCTCAGACACTCTGAGCATACGCTGCTGGGATAAATAATCCATGGGAAGTTCACATCATTTTTCATTTGATCAAGTCAAGAGCATGTTTCATAAGCAAATGCAAATGTTCAGGAGCTTTACTGAGTTTGTAGCAAGTGGCATGAATTTACATTCTCCTTCTCCCGGAACTGTATAAAAAGGCTCCTACATAAAAAGGCTCAGACATCCAGGCTTAGGCCTTCCGCCACGCTGGACAGGACGCTGTCTAGGCAACAGCTGAACCCATGCCTGCACCTTGTATTAAGGGAATGTAAGGCAATAATAAAAGCCCTCAAAATGGTCATTTCTAGATGAACAGACTAATCAAGCACTATAGATTCAAGCACAGTGGTCATCAGCGCTATTTCACATAGCAGCAGGAGGAAGCAAACACATCAAATGCCTGGACTGCTTCTCACCTCCACCCTTGCTTCTAGTTGCTAATTATTGTCTCTTGAGGCACCTGCCCCATTTTGTCCACCCGGCCTCTTAGGCTCTCTTTCACTACTGAATCCCCAGCTGTTTTCCAGCAGAGAGACAGCTTCTTCTGGCACTATACCAGATGTGGCTGACATCTTAATTCAGCCCTGTAACAGTACGCTTCGCCATGACCATCCATTTGTTCCAAGTTAGATTTCCCTGGTACTCTATTTGACTCTATACTTTCTTGCTATGGCTCCTCTGCCCTCCTCTCCTGAGAAGAGGCTGTAAGGCAGAAAAGGACTCCTTTAAAGTCTGTATGAATTAGTGTCAGTCATAACATTCACCCACAGAATTTGCCAGGAGTCCATGGGTCAAGAGAGAGATCAGGAGAATCATTAGCTAAGCACACTTGTCTGTTGGGGCCCATCAGAATTTTACCCCAGGGCCTGTACATCCTGACGATGACAGGGAGGGCACTCTGCAAGCAGACAAGTGGACTTGGGGAATTAATAGTCAGAGTCTCCATGGACCTATTATTCCCATGTCTGGTTATAGATCCAAAATATGGCAATACTGAAACTTGCTCATGAAGGAAGTACATTGTGTTAATTTCTAAGTCTTGGGAAATCGCCCTCAGTCTGGTTAACTGTACCTGATCTGAAAGTTTACTGGTAGAGGAGATGCAGAAATGTTAATCCAACTGCATCCTTCCTATAAATAAATGTTACCTCAATGATTCAAAACAATGCAAAAAACTGTTCCTCAGAGCACACCCACTGAAGCCTTGAATGCTCAGTAACAGCGACATTTTTATTTCCAGTGTTGCACAGGGATGAAGGGAAAGACTCACATGACCACCGAGCTCCTCTGTCTCTCCCGCTCTCCCCAGGTCATCCATGACTGTTTTCTCGGTGCTACAACTCTGTCCTCTTTGCCATCCTTCCTGTATCTGGACCCTGCAGGCCAACTCCCTGTGTAGCTTCTGCACCTTCACAAATCTGCATTTCTCTAGAGGAGGAAAAACAAGGGTGCCTTCTCCTTTCCGGACACAAATATGGCAGTAAATTCAAGCGAGACACAGAATTCCTTCCACTTCTGGTGAATGTATGGGGCATTTTGTTTGAAGCGGCAATAGACCCACCTTTAATTAGTGATATAGAGGGCCAACATCATTGAGTGCTTGCTGTGTGTCAGGCACTGTGCTGAACCCTTTGTACATATTTTATCCTCACAACAATCCCATATAAGAAGTAGTAACTGAATATTCTTTTAAATGGGAAAACTGAGGTTTGCTAAGGTGGGTGGCTTGATCAGGGGTAAATTTGAAACCAGAGAGTCTGGTCCCTGCTTTCAGCCTCCACACTATAGTAAGGAAAGGGATAGAGGAGGTACCAGCCTGAGTCTAGCCACTTCGCGGTTATACAACTTCTCATGGGAGACCGTCTCCACGATCCCATGTAGGATTTACTGAAAGCAAACTCAAAATACCTCATGGGTTAATCTGGTAGCCCACACCTTATCACCCTCCTCCCCTTATCATGCAGTCGGTCCCTGTCTGTCCAGGGAATATAAACTCAGGTTATTATTAGCTGAGGAATAATTATGAATATACATATATATATATGATATTTCATGTAAATGTTAGAAGTATTAATACCTTTTTACTGTCCTGTATCATGTTTAAAGTATTCTCATAAAAGGACATTTTGATGCCTACCATCTAATCTCTTAGAACAGAGTTCTGTTTAGATTTAATGTGCACGTGGCATAAATCCTTAGTACGATAGAGATTGATGTGGTTTGTTTGTTTTCCTAAGGAGGAATGTTTGTACCTGGCCTGCTAAAGAGATGCCACTGACCCATTTGCAATGGAGCATTTTTCTAGACTACTTTCTTGGTACCTGTTTGGAACAATGACACATGTATGAAATAGCCAGGCTGAGTCTGGGTTGCAGAACTGCTTTTGGAACAATGCAAGAGTAAGCGTCCTACAGAAGACCTTTCCACTAGCATTTTTGTCCAGTGGAGTTAATTATCCAAAAACTTATACACTGACAAAACCCTGGAACAACAGTAGCAATAACAAAAGCTAAGCTTTACTCAGAGCTTTCTGTGGGTCAGGGGCTGTGCTCAGCAAATCACACATATTAGGTGGTTGCCGTAGACTTGAGCACACCATTATATGGACAAATGAGGAAACTGGGGTTCAGAGAAATAGATGACACAGTGAGGAAACTAGAAGAGCCAAGATTCTAACACAGGTCCTATTGACTGTTATAGTCCTCTGAATCAAGCTGGTACTCTGCCAAGTGACAGAGTCCCAGCTGCGACAGGCACCTGGCAGGCAACTTAAAGGAGTGAGGTCTGCTGGTGCCAGACAACAGGAGTGATAGGGCTGTACCAGAGACAGTGTAACCTAGCAAAAGAGGAGCTGCCTCTCACATGGGGCAGATGTGCAGTGGAGGGTGGCCAGGACTTTTGATTTGTCCAGGGTGACAAAAACTGGAGTTTCAAGAGAAATCTCCCATTTTTAAGATGTTGACACCTAATTTAATTAAAGTGCTCTGCATGTCAGCAGCACACACCTGCAGTTCCTGCTGAGCCCGCACGCCTCCATCTTCTGCCTCTGCTGCATTGGCTTCCACAATGCTGTGTCTCGATTGCGAAGTACTTCATGTCAAATATCAGCCTTCTATATGGAAGTGCTCCTGGATTCTCAGCTCTGATTTTCTACTGAGCTCATGCTGTAGAAGAATGCAGAAAGAGGAGGTGAACCATCCATTTCAGGGTCCCAAACCACACTTTTTCCAGTGCCAGTGCCAACTGCTCCCTCAAGCTTTTCTGCATCTTCTCTGCTAGGATTGATGTCCCCTTGGCCTGAGTTCTTATGAGGCTCTGTTGACACTACAGCTGGTTGTGTTCTACATATCTACTCCTAGTACATCTCTCCTCTCTCCCCTATGTGGTCAGCCTCTTGGGACAAGCACACTGTCTTACTAATGACCCCATCTTCTCCAAAGCCTGAACTCAATGCTTAATAGATTTGCCTTTCAAGTATTTACTGAATTAAATACAAAAATTGCAGTATAGTTGATGCTTGTCTTTATACTCTTATTAGTTAGGAGACAGAGTCAGTTGCTTTAATAAAGAACTAAAAATAGAGCTACTTTGCCTCTTTAAACCTGTTTTCTCATCTTTTGAGTGGGAATAATTACCTAATCTATAGGAATCCCTTAATAGTGATTTAATCTAAATAATGAATGTGCTAAATATGTTTTGTTACTATCTGAGTCCCCCCCCACCAATATTCACATGTTGAAGCCCTAACTCCCAGTACTTCAGAATATATTCGATTGTGTTTGGACACAGGGCCTTAAAAGAGGTGACTGAGGTCATACGGGTGGCCCTAATCCAATCTGATTGGTGTCCTTTCAGAAGAGGGGATTTGGACATACAAGGGACCCCAGGAAAGGGCGGCACAGAAGAAGGACCATCCAAAGACACAGGGAGAAGGTGGCCACCTGCAAAGGAGAGAGGCCCCAGGAGAAACCAGATTGGCTGTCACCTTGACCTTGGACATACAGCCTCCAGAACTGTGAGAAAATAAATTTCTATTGTGTAAGCCACCCAGCCTGTGGTATTTTGTTGTGGCAGCCCTAGCAGAGAACACATGCTTCTTGCTTTGGGCATTTGCCTCTTTTTAGTCATTCAACTTCAGAAAATAAGAAATGAGCATCTGATTGAAGTAAATGACAGAAAAATGTACTTTGGGAGAAAGGCCATCTTTACCAAAAACTCTTGTCTTCTGGACTAATACCTAGGAGATTGCTGGGGAACACCTGTGTGGCAGATCCTGTTCATGCCTTGCCCACATGCCCTCAGGACTCACCCTGTAGCACACACCAGGCAGACTTTAAACAGTCAGCATTGTATTTGTGTGTGTGGAGGTTTTTTTCTTGGTGCCTGTAACCTACTCTGTCAGGGCTCAGTGCAGACAGGCAGCACCAGGGAATTGATGCCTCAGGACTGATGGGAATTGGAGTATAAATACCCCAGCTTCTCACCTTCAAGTGGGTAACCCCAATAGCTCTACATTGCCTCCAGAGTTCTCCGCAGGATGCAGCTCCCTGAGTCCTTGGGAATATACCTTTTATTGGCTCCCTTCCTATTCCTGTTGAAGTTTTCCATTCCTTTACCACTGTTCTGGAAGCATTTCCTACTCTTTGCTCTAGAGTTCTTATTTCAGGGTGTGATTCTGGGGGAACAAGAACTGAAACAACCTGCTTTCTGGCTATCTATGTGTGTATATGAAACTTCCAGAGTTAAAGATGCTGCTGTGGACTTGAATTTAAAGAGCTGACACTACATTGAATTCTTTACAGGGTAAGTAGTCCTTCCACTGGTGATGGACAACTTCCTGCAGCTTCTCCTTGCAGGGAACTGTGCCTTGTGTAGATACCTTTGCATCAAATCAACCTCTCTGCATTTTTTCTTCCATAAATACAAAAGCCCAAACTTTTCTATGCTTATTGGTTATTTGTTTTACATCCACCCTCACCTGCTTATTGGCTTTTATTAGTTTGTGCTCTTACATCACATGCATATGTTGGGTAGGTGTGTTTGCCTCACTGTTGTATGATTTTAATAGGTTGTTTTGTGGCTGAGCCAGATATTTCCTTATGGGATTGCTACAATAACTGCTGTGAACTTTGATTTGTCCATGACTGGGGGTGAGGAGATTGATTTTGAATAGGAATTCAACAGACTGTGACAGAAGGAAACTTCTTAGGAGCAATGCAAGCTGACCTGTGTTCAAGAAAACTTCCCCCAAAACAGCACCACTGACCTAAGCCTGTTCTTTACTTACAGGCTGAGGGAGTGAAGGTTGAAAGGTGTAGGTGGTCTCAGCAACTATTGAGAACAATGCTAATATCATCCACATTCAGTAAATTTCAGCATTCTGGGCTCCCGCAACCCTCTGTAAACTATTTACACCTGCACCCCATGGCTGTGGCATGAGGGCAGATCTGGCGTAAGGCTCCAGATGAGGGGATCAGCTGAGCCTCACCTTACGATGTGTGTCCCTTCCTCAGGCTTTTGCAGGTAAAACAACTTATTTTTGCCTGTTTGGGGAAGCTTTTATCATAGAAGCCATTTCTTAGTTGTATCTTTCATGAATCTTTTATTTCAGTGCATAAATCCTAAGAAGCATTGCTGCCTTAAAGGACTTATAGGAAACAGTTGGGGGTCCAGTGTTTAACAAGCAGTCAGTGCTACTAGGTCTTCTGCACAGGGCTGAAGGCCAGAACCACAGTTTTGAAGGGCTGTGGCTGACTCTCTCCATGCTTCCCAGCCACCTTATTTAGTGTCTGCTCATTTACTAGTAAAAAGGAAATAATAAAAGTGTGTAGCACTCATATTATTCTCCATCTAATTATCTAGTAAATTCTTCCCTATTAATTAATGTATTACATGGAGGGAAGATTTCAAGTAGCTCTGGGTAAATCTACTAGCTCATATAAATCCACCCATTACATCCAAATGGACTTCCTTTAAAGTAGGTCATTCTGTAAAATGACAAGGGTCTTAATCATTCAGTTTAAACATGTTTTGTAATTGGAATATTAGCTTGGCCCTAATGCAGATGGAGTTAGCAATGAACTGCAAAAACAAAATTCCCAGAATCTGTTTCCTAAAGTTATTATTTATTTATTTTTGTTTTAATAATGGTGAGTGAGTTTATCAGACTGAAGATCTGACATCATCTTATTATTGTAGAGAAGGGCTCTGAGCACCAAAACTCCACTTGGCAGCTCATCAACAGTGCATTGCATCTTTGCCTGCATCTCCCCTGTATCATCTTGCTGGGTTTTGCTTCTGCATGTTCACCTCCTCCTTTCCTCTCCACTCTGCCTTCCCTAGCCTAAGTTGCCATCACCTCACCTGGTGGCACTGTAATACTTACAAGCTAGCCTCCCTGAACTTAATTCTTGATATTCTAGGCAACTCTGCCTCCTATTTCCTGGCTAACCAACCCAAAATGTGGCTGCTCCACCACGTCCCTTCCCAACTCAGAAACATGCCATGCTCCCTATGGCTCACCATGTGCCTTCCAGGGTCCTCTGCCTGGCTTTAGAGGCCCTCCATATTCCAGCCTGTCCCACACATCCCAGCATACTCTTGTTTTCACTACTCAACGTGTTTTGATTTCTGCTTACCATAAAAAAACCGATTGTTTCCAGGGCCTGTGGTTATGGTTGTACATGTGCAGTTTCAAATGCTGAAGGGCATTGTTCATAGAGATCGTCACCTCAATGCTTGCCTCTAACATTGTGTGTTAGGCAGCCCTAGTCATTTCTGCTTCTGTCATTTTTTCCCTTACCATTGCTTTTCTGTTTAAATCCTTCTCATCCTTCAAAATATACCTTAGCTATGATGTCTTCCTTAACAATTCCAATTCTCAGTTTTCTCCTCCTCTGACATTCTGGAAGTCTTATAAGCTCTTGCCTTCAAAAACAATTTCTACAAAGACTCCCCAGCTACAAAGGACATGAATCATTTTTTTTATCCATCTTTCCATCTCTGCAGAAGAACACAGTAGAGCTTAGCAACTACTGAATAGTTTTCCCTGTTTTCAAATGTGATTGTTTTAATTCTCCCAGTTAGTTTCTGAACCTCTTGAGGGAATGGATGCTTCCATCCATATATGTAGGTAGCATGGTGCTGGGCACAGGCCTGGTGTTCTAGAAATATTGCTTGATTCCTGGGCATGATCTATGATTAAACCAGAAAGAAAAAAGAAATCACATGTTGATATGTTTCCGAAGATAAAATCTATATTACCTCTAGTTTGATTACAGAGATACCTAATGTGAACCAAAGGTGTGATCTTGAAGCAATAAGGCCCTTCCCAGAAAGATGTCAGAATTGTCCAGAAAGAAGAAAAAATTAATCAACCAACATATTGCTTTAAACCAACAATAGTAAGGTAGACTTCAAGCAAGGCAGCTGCAATTAGTTAGAACAGCGAGTAACTATACAAGGTTATTAATATGCAAACTGGAAGGCAGAAAAGCTAAAAAAACATAATCTCTGCCCTCTTGTTAGAGATTGAAATATTATGAGGATTACCTGTTGTCATGGCAGAAAGTATTCTAAATACATATCCAGCAGTAACTAGGAAGAGTCATAACTTCTCTAGTAAATGCTCTAGGAAACACAGCCACAGAATTCCATCATCCCATCTGTCTTTTTCTTCTCAGGGAGGATCTGCGCTGCCTTAGAAAGACAATGCAAAACTGAAACAGAAAATAGAGTTGCCTCCTGCAAATGCCTTCTTTTGTCATTTTCTCTTTCAGCATTTTACCTCTCATATCTGATCCTATGGTGATGGCCACTTCTTTAGGGTATCTTTAGGATTTGAACATAAATGGAAACGATGGATTCCCATTTGTTTTGCCCCTCCCCAGACTGCCTTTAGTCACTCCAAAAAGCTCTCTGACAGTAGATACTGGTCTATGCTACACATACCAGTGCAGAGTGTCAATCTTTGCTCATTTTCAAGTTTATTTTTTTGTGATGGGGGGAGTGGAGCGGGGGAAGAGGAGTTCAGTTTGTCCTAGTTAGGTGACCACTAAGAGAAGGAGTGATCCTTCAAGCTGTAGTTGAATTCATAATTAATGCCTTGGTGTTATTGGGCAGCTCACATCTGTCTTTGTTCTTGGATGTCTATACCTGCCTACACTTAGGAAGTTAGGTTCTAATCCAAATGCCTTAGGTCTTAGAAGATTCTGTTACTAGAATACGTCTTTTGAAAATCTGGTGAAACCTATTTCTCTTTTATCAGAAAAGCACACAGACATTTTCCATATAATTTCAGGAGGTGCCTGGCCCTTCTAAACCCTGTGGACACCAGACTGAAAAGAATGATAATCTCTAAGATGCCTGTACTTCTGACTGTGCAGCACATCCTAAGTACTGTGCACAAAATAGCTCATTTATTCCCTAAAATAATCAATCACAGGTTCTGTGATTTTCCTCATTTTAAAATGAGGGAACTAGGGTTAAAGATATGGACTTTCAACCTCTCAGGACTGGTAAAAGGCAGTGAGAAGATTTGAATCCAACCAGTCTGCCTCAGCATCCACCATGTTACATGCCACTTGTTTAAGGTTCCTGGATTGGGACCCATAAGGAAAGATGATAAGCAGTGAGTTATTAAAATACCCAATGCTTCCAAATCTTTTTTATGATTTCATGGACTCTTGATTTCATTCCTTCTTTTCTTCTAATGGCTACATTATAATACAGATCAAAAAACCACCTTGTCTGTATACCTTGAGAAAAACTATTAATACTCTATAAAAAAACATAAGACTGATCCTCTGTAAATAAATACGAAATTCTGTTGTTACCATTGTGTATGGTATCCAAGAGAATGTTACAAACCTACATATTTGAAAGGTGAAACATTATCAGTTTTGATCTGGAATAATAAAATTACAATTCCATGTAATGCCCACCAGGCAGAGGGCAATACTATAAGCACTGGAGAACTTACACAATATTCGGAGGAGTGACATCAGTCCTTGGGAAGTTAACAGCCAAAGAGGAGTCACGGATAACAAATATGTAGACAACCCAGTGAACTGTGACCCAAACTGGCTCATCTTGAATTGCCTGGTGGACTGAGTCAGATTCTCTCAGTCCCAGCGCAGGTTTTCACATTTTGCCAGGAATAAACAGGAACTTTATGACTAACAGCTTTTCTTCTAAATCAACAGACATAAAAAAGCACCTGTAGATGAAAGATATCGTTAGCAGCTCTGTTGTAACAGTTATGAATTATCACCCCTTCAAGCTTCTCTTACTCTAGGTCTTTCCCTACCAAGGGACCAGGACATAGGGAGAGAATCGGATGAGTGTCCCATTTTAATTTTCTAAGAAAGTTCTTCATTGATGCTCTTATCAATATCACCTCTTTTAAGTAGGTTTATTTAGAAGTAGAGATTGATATGTTTTTGTGTTTCTTTTTATCTGGGCTTGATATAAAGCTGTAGAATAGGAAAACAAATTTTAAGGTTGCCTAGAGCACCTTCACAAAGTTTGTGTGCTTGTAAAAATGTGTGCAAATTTCATGTTAATATCCAATAAATGTGTACTTGTGTGTGTGTATGTGTGTGTTTGTGTGGAGATTATTTTGATTAAATTCATTGTGGAATTTCTTAGGTTAGACCAAATTTGAACATAGAATAGATGAGATTTATTAATGAGAGATGACATGTTTTTATAAATTGCCAGGTGCTTTCATAAACGTTATTTCCTTTAGCCTTTATAACCACCATGCCAACTGGTATTTTATAGATCTTTTTAATAGGTGAAGACACAAGCTCAAAGAGGTGAAGTGCTGGGTCAAGGCCACAGAGCTAATAAATCAATAAATATGGGACATGACCTGGGTGTTTTGACTCCACATTGAATGTTTGTTCTACTTCCCTATATAAAAGATGACGATGTTATGTTTTGACGGTTGGCAGTAAAGAAAGTGCTTCAGGTGTCTAAAGGTTTGGAATTTGCCTTGAGAGGGAAAGTTGGTAAAAATCATATCTAGGCCACTGCTTTTGTTCATCAAGTTATGCAGCATCCCTGGGGTTCACTGGGGATTGATTAACAGCCACTCCAGCCACATGGAGAGTTGCAATTTAAGAGGCATCTCTTTAGGTTATATTCTTCACATATATCTTGTCTAATCTCAGCAAACTGATAGTACAAGTATTACACAGAAAAGAATATAGAGGCTCAAAGAGGTCAAGATATTTAAGGCTACATTACTAGATGATTGAAAAATCTGCATTTGAACTCAGGACCATCTGATTCCAAAGCATAGGTCTTTCCATTTCACCACCTCAGGTCCCTACAGTAGCCACCTTTTTGGAAATCTCTAGTTCTGTGTTTGGGTAAAAGTGGTACTAACTCAATGAAGGTAGCTGGACAGTGGGCAAGGCAGAAGGCTTTTATAGCCTGTTCATATCTTTTTCCTTTCTTATTATCAGAGATAAATCTTTTTCTGACCAGGCCCGGTAATAGTAATTCTCAAGTTTTTTGGTCTTAGGACTCCATCATACTCTTAAATTATTGAGAACCCCAAAGAGATTATGTTGATATGCATTATATCTATAGATAGCTACATAATTAAATTTTAAAACAAAATTCTAAAAATACTAACTTATTTGATAATAAACAAATTATATTTTACTGAAATTATGTTATGAAAATAACTTTTCAGAAAAAAACAAAATTAAGTGAGAAGACTGGCTTTGTGTACATTTTTGTTAGTTAAAGTCTGGCTTAATAGAAGCAGCTGGATTCTCATACCTGATCCTGCGTTTTGTCTGTTGCAACATCACAAGCCTGTAGTCTCTGGAGAACACCAATGTATACTCATGAGAAAATAAGAACAAAAGGGGCAAACAACATTTTAGCATGACAAAGAAAACAGTTTTAGCCTTGTGGAATTCCTGCAAGGGTCTTACAGATGCCCAGAGGTTTCCAGACCACCCTCTGAGAATAGCCGCCCTATAACCATTTCAGTCTGCACTTGGGCAGGTGAAATAACGGTGTCTTTGGGCCATAAGGAACATTACAGGGCACTGAGTCCAGTCATCTACTAATGGAACAAAATCCCATGAGGTCCAGTGTAAGCCCCCATTTTGCAAGGATAAGGACTATTCCATGTTCAAAAGAACTTTAAAAGGATAGAAAAAAAGCCTTTATTATGTTGAGAGGTAACTTTTTCTCTGTGGTTTCTCTGTTTGGTCGTAACTCTATATAGAATGAATCCAACTCCTCTTCTATATATTCAAATATTTGAAAACGACTCCCTTTTGCACCTTGACTGCTGTCATCTCTTCCAAACTACAGCCCTTTTTTTTTTGTAGTTATGAACCTTGGAGACCTTCCTGCTCTAGCAGGAAACTCTAGCTCTTCTTGGTCTCTAGTCCCACATCTGTATCTTCTTTCTAAGATCTTCAAAAGCCAAGTTGAGCTCCTGTGATGTTGCCAGAACCCTCTAAGGTAGATTTTCTCATTGTACTTAGCTTGGGTCAATACTACTAATGTTTAACACTGACAGGGAGAAATGTATTCTTAGAGGCTTTCGTCTTCTGGCTGGGCATGATCTTTGACACCTTGTTTCCGTTCCCCTCCCTCTGTCATCTTACTTCAGCTTCTGCTCTCTCCAAGGCATCATTTCATCTGTCTTTTCCCTTCTACCCGACTGAAAGGCAGTGCTATTTGTGCAGTGCTTTAAAGTGCAAACAACTTTACAAACATCAGCTCATTTAATTAGCACAGAAACTTTGTACACAGAATGCACTGATGCAAATGGTATAAGGAAAATATAGAAGTTTTCATTAACCCAGTCTTAAGGATTACCATTTTAATATGTCATGCCTGGGGTTCTGTAACCTGCTTTGCTGGCTGCTCAGCTTGTGTCTCCCTATTCTAAAGCACTCTACATAGTGAGGCTAAAATCATCTTCCTTCCCTGCTGATCTGAACATGCTACCATCTGGACTCCATTTATAGCCTCCCTTCAATCTTGGGATAATGTATTTTCCTATGACTTTTGAGATTCTGCATCTGCTAAGATCTCTGTCTTGCTTTCTTCAATTTAGGATGGCAGCATTTACTAATCATGATTTTGTTCATTTGTTCATCCAGCATTTGCTCATGCATTCATTTGTTAATTTAGCATCTACTATGTACTAGTCACCACATTAGAGACTAGAGGGGAAGACAAAGAAGAATAATTTCTGCCCTCAAGGAGTTATAACCTCACAGACAAGCAAACACTTAATTCGATTACAAGACAGACTGTGATAAGGGAGGTGGTTAAAGTAGATAGATAGTGGTAGGTGAATGCTTAGGTTTACCTGAGGAAGGATGAATTGCTAATGTGAAGAACAGGGAAGGCTTCTAGGAGGAGGTGTTGTTTGATCTGTGTAAGTATGAGTAGATTTCTGTATGCAGAGCAGGGAGCATAGGACAAGACTGGCTTGACTTTCTTGCTGTCTGCTGGTCAAGTTAGTTTTCTTATTGCCCTTTTCCTCTGTCTTACTGAATTATATTTTCTTCTTTCTTTTTCTTTTTTCAAAGTGTCCTAAATACCAAGGGCTTGGAAAACTTTCACACCTGACTTAAGAAATTTCCAGGACGGTAACAGTAAATAGCATATGAAAAGGCAGAATAGGCAGATTCTGTTTCAAGATTCTG